CCGACGTGCAAGGTACCCTGGGTGTGTTGGTTGTTAATGTTCTGGGACATCATGTCAAGTTCTCCTTTTTCAAGATACACTTCTGTTTTCACAGGAAATTTAAGTTTAAGTTTACATACAGTCTCTTTCACAATAAACACACTATGATGGTACAACACAAGTTTTTTTTCCTTCAACAACAAACACACGTGATTAGGTTGAGGCATCAAAAACACAGGTTAGGGTAAAACATATGGTTAGGGTTAAGAAAAAAGAACAGGGTTTGGCTTTAGAATCTCACAGGACACGCACACTGCTCTCTCGGGTGAAATTCAGTGTTTGTTGGACCCATCCACTGCAACTCCCGCCCCACTCAGACTTTTGTAGCCTTAACTTTCATTTGTCCTTCTGTGCTTCCCCTGACGCCGCCGGGTGCCGTTAAACTATATGAGCAAGTAGCTGCATACCATGCTGATGATGAAGGATGTTTTATTTCGTTGGTTTCTGACGCCGCAAGTCACTGCCCAAGTGCTGTATTTTGATGACTTCAGAGTGAGACCGTGCTCACAACCCCTTTTGGGGACAGCTGATGACATAGATTTTTCCTTTGTGCCACTGACCTCCACTGTTGCCTAAAACCTATTAAAAACACATCAGTGAGCCACATCATTGTATCTGCTGACATGTTTCTTCATTACAATGAACGTGGGCACTGTAGTTTATGTTCAGTTCTACGCACACCGTCCTGCTGGCTGAAACAATCACTAGAGCACCAACTATGTATTCATCCATGTCTGAAAATAGTCCCTACCAAAATTTTCTATTTTCTCCCACCTTTTTTTTTTTTTTTTTTTTTTTGCAAAAAATCATTCAAACAAACTAATTAATTTTCCATAACCGCTTATCCTGTTAGGGGGATGGAGCCTATCACAGCTGACATTGGGTGAGAGGCAGGGTACACCCTGTACAGGTTGCCAGACTATCACAGGACTGACACATAGAGACAGACAACCATTCACGCTTACATTCACACCTATGGCTGATTTAGAGTCACCAATTAACCTGCATGTCTTTGGACTGTGGGAGGAAGCCGGAGTACCTGGAGAAAACCCACGCTGACACAGGAAGAACATGCAGACTCTGCACAAAAGGGTTCCCCCACCTCGGGTTTGAATCCTCCACCCTGGGTTTGAACCAGGAACACTCTTGCTGTGAGGCGATAGTGTGAACCACTGCATCACCATGCTGTCCAGCTGTTATAGGGAATTATTAGACTTTAAAAGACATGAAATGATGTAAATAGGGTTTGTTTTTAAATATTTCCATCCTCAAAGGAAACCAATGGATTTGCGGCTGAGTGCCATAGCAGTGTGGTATCGAGAGATGTGTTTGGTATGGGTTTTTTCACGTTATTTACTGTCAGTATGAATAACACTAGACTTATCCTTCAACTTGTGACTATGTGTGTGATATGTTTCTGCAAAATCAATTTAACTAAATAGAGGAGTTTTCTAAAAGCTTCATGCAGCTTCATTGTTCACAGTTGACCTCTTCACCTCTCAAAGATCACAACTTTGCTGCTTTTTTTGGTCACAGTTCAACAAAACTTGTCCCCATTGTCCTCTCTTCTCTCCCTAACAGCACGGAGGCCTGCTGCCCAGACTGTGTTTGGTTTTACCGTGACGTCATGGTGACAGTAACTGGGGGTGTGGCCGTGGCTGCAGCACTTTGCCTGTTCACGCTTCTAATCCGGCCAATCAGGATACGGAAAAGTTAGGGTTCAACATCTGCACAACACTAACATGCCTCATATCTGTGCACACACACACAGAAAACAACCACTCATGTCAGACTGAATAACCCACAGTGCATATTTCTGTTTGAATCCACCATTTCAGCTGCATACAGAGCATACTTGTTTTAAAGGACCTCAAGGATTATGCCTTACTCACTAATCTTAAAAAATATTTTGGCGTACTTTACTTTTTGTTCATAAATATTTTGAGGGGGAGGGAAAGCCTTTGTTGCTGGATAAGGGAAATGGCCCCGAGGATGTGAGCCATGCTACCACCCAGTGTATGAATCTGTAACTACACTGTCTCCTGGAGGGGCATGTAGGCTTTTAAAACTGACGGTTACAGTGAAGGTTCCTCATCAGAGAGGAAGCTTGTGATCATAGAAAGATCTTTAAATGCATAGATAGATTTAGAAAAAATGTGGAAACTGAAACCACAGTCACACAGACTCAAAAATACAAAATATGCTATTTCATATAGAAATCTAGAAATCAAAGTTAAGGGCAACTGATGATAGATAGACCTACATATATACATTCATACACACATACATGAGACACTTGTTGGAAATATAACACAATCCAATCTCTGCCTCGCCTTTCTACTGTGAGTGAAGCCAAATGTTTTCGTTGACCTGGCAGCGATTGTGGCGCTGATCCAAGGAACTGAACTGGGTGAACTTGACACTTCTTGTGTGTGTGTGTGTGTGTGTGTGTGTTTGAGTGACTGTAAGCAGGAGTGTTAATACCTTCCTGGACATTATTCTTTGTACCACTTGCTTTGATCATTTTTACTGTAAGAGAAAAATAACCAAACATTGGTTGGTTGGGAAAATGATTCTGAAAATAAAAAGTACACACACATACCTGCTCTGACCAAAGGTAAAACTACACAGCAGAGACACTGACAAGACACAGGAACTAAACTGAACTTAGTTTTGATTCTTTTATAATGTTGCATTAATTTAAAATCATGTTGTTATGTTAACAAACTGTACATCTTTGTTTTCGTTCTTTATTTTGTTCATTCCTTGGTTATGTTTGTAGTCTTTGTCTATCGTATGAAAGCTGCATGTTTGGATTTGAGCCACCTGATCATACCTGTCCTTCAAGGGGCAATGAGAAAAATGTTCAGAAAATGACTTCAAAACCCATTAATCAGTAGAGGACACAATTTTGTTAACTTAATTCTTCTTGTAATGGAAATTGTTTTACAAATCATTTTTAAAAATTTGCTGTTTCAACCATCATTTGTGAGTCCTGTTTTGCCTTGAGGGAGTATTGGTTCACTACAGGGCTGGTATTTCACTGTTAAGCTTTGATTTGTCACCTTCTCTGTGTTAATCAAATAATATGATATTGGTTGTGTCAGTTTCAGGGTTTCATTTTATATTCATGGTCACCCTTTTCTGTGCAGCCTCATTCTTTTTTATTCAAACTAAGAAAACAGATTCATTCTTGTCCAGTATAGCTTGTGAGGAAATCAGAATGCAGCGCAGTTATTAATCTCATAAAGACGGCTGTACAACCTTATGGAGGAATGCAAATGATTTTATACACTTAAACAAAAGTGTAAAACAGTGATAAGAAAAATAAATACAAACTGTAACAGAGGCGTGTGAGAAACAAGAAGAAGATCTTAGGACTAGTGAGGACAAAATAAAAGGACAAGGACTTACGTTAAATGAGAGATTAGCGCTAAAAGCAAAAATCATATTTGTCAACTTTTCATTATGTAAAGCGGGCAACTTTTTTTTCAGTTAGAAAATCTGTACCATGTGTGGTTTCAGTGACTCCATTATGATGAAGTTTTTCTCAAAAATAATATCAATCAATCAATCAATCAATCAATGTTATTTCTAAAACCCAATATCACAAATCACAATTTGCCTCACAGGGCTTTACAGCATACGACATCCCTCTGTCCTTTGGACCCTCACAGCGGATAAAGAAAAACTCCCCAAAAAACCCTTTAATGGGGGAAAAAAATGGTAGAAACCTCAGGAAGATCAACTGAGGAGGGATCCCTCTTCCAGGACGGACAGACGTGCAATAGATGTGGTACAGAACAGACCAGCATGATAAATTAACAGTAATCCACATGACACAATAAGTCAGAAAGAGAGACAGAGACAGAGAGAGATGCAGGACAGACGGTAATGATAATAGCTTACAACAATATTAATTAAAGCAATAATATTATAATAATAATAATTACGGCTATTGTGGTACAATATGTTGAAAGTATTTTACAAATGATTCTTAATTGAATATGACCTTAAAGCTGTCTAAATATTAACTTTAGAAGATGAAGACCACATGATATCAATTAAATTATAGACTTATCTTTACTATGATCAGTGTTATATGAAGTCTTTAGATCCTTACTTAAGTAAAAGTGCAGGTACCATATTGTAAACATCCCACTGCAAGTTAAAATCCTGCACTGAAAATGTTAGGCTACTCAAGTACAAGTATAAGTATTTTGAGGAAATGCACTTAATAGCGAAAATTATCTCTGTGACTGTTGTACTGTTTTATTTTATATCATTAGATTAATATTATTCATGCTTTAATGTAAAAGCAGGATTTTCTTGTTGGAGTTGGTTGACACACAAACAAAGCAAAATAAGAATAAAAGATGAATAAAATTAAAATAAAACCTAAAAGTGATACCTTCACTTCGCTTGTTCACCAAATTCTAAATTATCATAAATAGTTGCCAATTAATTTTATGAAAGTCAACTAGCATTTTAATTGTAGTTAGCCTATATAAACTGTTGGATAATTAATTTAGACTAAATATCACATATAAGGGAAAAAAGTACAGTATTACCCTCTGGATTGTGGTTAAGTAGAATTATAACGTGGCATGAAAAGAAAATACTCAAAGAAACCTTTAATTTGTATTTAACTACTGCTACTACTTGAGTAAATGTATTTAGTTACATTCCATCACTGCTTGTAGCTGGAAATGACTGAACTGCTACTCAGAGACTATATTGTCTGGCGGAAGACCATGATGACAATGATAGTTATTGTCACGCATTTATTTTTTGTGATAATTTATTTGCAATAATTTACTGATATATAATTAAAACGTTAGTGACAGTGTTTCTGGTCCCCTTTGGGTGCTGCAACCGGAGAAAGCCCGACCTCTGGCGGTTGAGCCTCGGCGGTGTAGCGGTGTAGTGCGGTGGGCCTCATCACCGCGGACAGGCGGGACAAAGCACTTGCTCAGAGGCTTGTCTGTGAGAAGACCGTTGTTTCTGTCTCCGCCTCGGACAGCAGCTTCAAGCAGAGTCGCGACTTTTAGCCTCAGGTTCACTTTGATAACAATAATAATATAACTCGGAGACAAGTTATATTTCTGCGGACATATTATTTTTTTCTCAACTGTTGTAAACTTTGAGAAGAAGGAGAGCTTTGACAGGAAACAGGGACTGGCGTGTGTTTTTCATTCCCCTCCAGCGGTCCTCAGGTAAGACAACATGTTTAAAGGTTAAAGGTGATTTTGATAAGATTATGTACAGTTGTTCTATCACACTAAACTTACATTAATGTGCTTTTATCAAGTTTTTGTTACAAAGTCGCTACAAAAGTATTTGAGTAAAGGAGCACACAGTAACGGTAATTTAACAGGTGGGACCCATCATGTTGTTTCTCAATCACTTAACGCTAGTTAGCTAACAGTATCATTGAGTTAGCTTAACTAACGGTACAGTTTGTTAACGGTCACTGTAGAGTCAGTTAAAACGGTTAATATCAGAAATCTATCGGGACAAAACAGAGGAAATCACATGAAGGAAAGCTTATCTCTATAACGGTAACGTTAGCTTATATTAGTTAATATAAAATCTGATGGCGTCTTTGATCTTAGATAATGTTAAATGTGGTTATGATGGTGGAAGTAACGTTACTCAGATCAGTTACAAGTAACGTTAAAAGTCCAGCATTCGAGTACATAAGTATTAGCATTAACATTTAACGTTACCTGAAGTAACATTACTAAAAGCAAAAGTAGGCTACTCATCATGCAGAATGGCCCATTTAGGATTACTATAGACTGCATTATACCAATAGATTATAATTGGTGGTCCATTCATGTGTAGGCATCACAAATATTGCTGCTGGTAAAGATAATTTCAACTACCTATGTGTTACATATCACTGAAGGGCAGCTTAATTTATATTACCATATCTAAATGTATTAGTTGATTCCTATATTGTGTATTTATAATCTGAATCTGCAAAGTAACAAATACTCTCAGATAAGTGTAGTGGTGTAGAAATGTAGAGTAGTATGAAATGTCAATGCTCAAGCAAAGTACAAGTACCTTTAACCCTTGTGTTCCTCTTCAAAAAAGTTACATCCATGACCCTTCAAGTGGACAAAAATGTCCATTTTCTAGAAACTTTTGTAGTGTCCAACAAAAAGTCACAGGGGGGTGATTTTTTTGCATGGGGGTGTTATTCTGGGTGAAATTTCAAAATCCCAACTTTCAGCATGAAAATCCATTATTTGACCCTGTAATGCATTTTTATCCCATCCATGACCCTTCAAGTGGACAAAAAAGTCCAGGGGTAACACAAGGGTTAAACTGTACATAAGTACAGTACTTGAGTAAATGTACTCGGCCATATTGCACCACTGACATTAACAAAACTGTGATCAATTTAAAAAGTAACCTCATCTCCAAAAATCACAGGTTCACAACCTGTCATCTGGTCATGTTAAAGGTGTGTTTACACCAGTTATTGATTGTAAACACATCAGTAAAGCAGCTGAGACTCAAAAGTTGCTTCCTTGTGTTTCAATCATAAGTATAACCCAAAGATTTACTGTAGTACCTGTAATTTATATGGTTAAACTGCACACAGTGCCAAGTTAGCTAATGACTTATTAATTACGCTCAGGTGCCAGTTTATTGGGTACACTCAACTAAAATCAGCCTTATACAGTCCAATACAGCAGCCCAGCAATAAATACTACTGTCATGAAGGGTAAAAGAGAGTAGAAGAACACTTGGGTACCAAAACATAAAAGTAATGCAAGAACATCCAACATATAGCCCCTTAACAGATACCATTGGAGCATAAAACACAGTTTACTAATTAAAAATATGCATAAAATACTTGAAACAAACATAAAAAACACTCTGGATTAAATATTTTGTTCAGGTATTGTGTTTATTAGACATTTAGTCCACCTTCATTGATATAACTGAGGTGGACAAAATATTAGAAACCCCCCAAGTTCAATCAGCACCTCTCTAAAACAGTGCATCAGTGCTAATGTGCATCATTTTGAGGCAGGTTTAACTAAAACATCTGCAATTAAATGCATAGCACCCTGTTTATTTTCACAAGTTTTACTGAGTTCTTTTCATGGCGAAGGAGATTTTTCAGTGGGGTGTTTTTGGGCAGGAAACCTTGGCTGACTCCCGTGTGTATGCCAGTGGGTCCCAGCCTACATTGGGCAGGGGCCTAATTGTTTTTGACAGATGTGAGACATGTGACTGTATGACTGGAATTCCATTATCAGCAGCAGATGATAGAGACTCTGTGTTGTAGAGGAGCTCAGGCTGTGGCTGGTGGGTGTCTGACCTGACCTGTGACTGTGGTCCAAACACTGTGCTTTCTGCCCAGCATGAAAATGAGATTTGTGAGCCAGTTTTAGACAAACACCACTGTACTATTACTACTCCTCCTACTACTCCTCCTACTCCTACTACTACTCCTACTACTACTACAAATACCTCTGTTACTACTGCTGCAGCTACTATTACTCCTGCTATTGCTGCTACGGTGCTGCTTTTACAGTTTTGAGTAAAAGTACTGCACTCAGGGAACTAAAAGGCTTCTCCAAGTGTCCCAAATAAGATGTGAATTTGAGGAGCTTAACAGTCAGTGTGCAAGACACCATCACATTTGTTTTGTCCAGGTACTAAGTCTTCAGCTGCAATTAAGAATTGTTTTCATTACTGATTAATCTACCAATTATTTTTTTGACTAACTGATTCATCTTTTGGTCAATAAGATTCCACAAGTAGTGGAAAATGCTCAATAGCCCAAGTTAATGTGACCAAATATATGTATTCTATTTTGTCCAATTAACCATCCAAAGTCCAAAGTTGTTAGGTTTACTACAGCATTAAAGACCAAGCTGCAAATTCTTACATTGATAAGTTGGAACCATCAAATGTTTGGCATTTATGCTTGACAGATGATTTGAACCATTAATCATTGCAGCTCTAGCTGAGTCCAAAAAGCTGTACCCATGTCTCCCAAAGCTCCACACTACTGTCAAGTACAGTATATTGAGCTCAAAGTGTTTCTAGACTTGAAGATTTTAAAGCCTTTGGTTCCACTGCACCTGATGAAGAGCCAGTTTGGGCTCAAAGTGTTGTACTTTTTCCAGTGTAATAATGTTGAAAGGGGGCTTAACAGTGTAGTGAGGTCTTGGGAGGTAGAAGTTACTGTTGTATGGTCCACAGTATATTTTCATTGTTCGGAAATGGCTTGGTCCTTAGATTATTTCCTGCCACTTATTAATATAATCAAACACTGCAGTAAAAATGACCCACTGGCTCAGGAGAGAGCCTGTTGATCAACACTAAAGGACACCTGACACTGCTGTGCACAGCATCCACCTGTCCTTCCCTTGTTCAGTCTCTTGCCCCTGCCTCACTCCACTCAGGAGCAGCACAGAGGAGCCCTTGTTTGATCCTCCCTGGACAGTGCCCCAATTTTCTTTTTTCTTTTTTTACCCCGACTCCATGGCAACACTGCTCCTGTGACGAGCCGCCTTGACTTTTGCCCCTCCTGCTCTCAAAACAAAGGCAAGAAGTTATGGAGGGAAGGAGCGAAGGGGGGAGGAGAGTTTGGGGACAGGGGGAATTGTGAGGGATGAAGGATATGGAGGAATGAGGGAGGGAATAATGGGAAGGTGTCTGGGATGGAGGCTCTGAGGCGAGACCTCTTCGGCGGTGTGTGCCAGAGTCCCATAAAGAGAGGAGAGTTATTACTGGGGACTGGAGACGGTGGGCAGTGCCAGGGACTGTCCGTCTGTCCGCCCATCTATGTGTCTACATTTCTGAATGGCCGTTAACTTTCCTCACAATCCCACCAGGGTCTGACCAGGCGCAAGACATAGATGAAATATATTTCTGTTGTTAAAATCAGTGCTGTGGTGTCACTGGAGGATTGAGTTCAAAAGAGTGCACTTTGCAAATATGCCTCGTCAATGAATTAATTAGAGCTGGGGAAAAGGGTTGCAAATAACAATTATTTTCATAGTAATCAAGTTCTTGAATATTTTCTCAACAAATCGATTTATCACTTTACCTATAAAATTTAAGTAAACAGGAAAAAAATGCCTATACCAATTTCCCCGAGCTCTAGGTGACACATTCAAATTACATGGTTTGCTTAGCTAACAATTAGTTTTGGGTGGTTTCTATGTTTTCATACCTTCATACTTTCTTGACATTTCACAGTGTATATGGTATATGATGGTATTTGTGTAAAAAACAAAAGCTGAGCAACTGGTGATAGAGGTCATTAAAGCATGTATGTCAACTAGCCAACAGTGCTGTGTTTCTAATATGCAGTTAGCCTACTTAGATAAGTCCTGCTGGGTTTGAATATTTACTACCCATAAAATAATAAATACAGACATAATAGGCGCCCTACTTGCTGGAGGACCATATGATCCTTGTTGGAGATGATGTGTTGAATAAAATTATGTGGATAATAAACTGTTTTGTTGTTGGAAGAACTCATCACAAGATAAAATTATATCTCTCAAACAGGGGCAGAGGCATTTTGCCTTTTTACTAGTCCTTTAACGTTATCCCCACCGCTCGCAGTTGCCTTCTTTCTCATCTTAGCTGCCTGTTTCACCAGTAGAGACTGACCTCTGATGGCACGTCCTTTGCACTACCATACATTGCCTCAATACAGCATCTCCGTATTGGTTTAATAAAAAGACGAGCGTCTGTTTTTTGGACAGTCTTGTAATTCATACCTCCAGTTTTTTGTAAATACCCTGGTATATCACAATACCTCATAATAATCAGTTCACTATTAAAAGAACACATGCAGTTCTTTGACATTGATCAGTGAAAGATGGAGATTTGTCATTTGTCAAGCAAAACAATCTCAAACATTCTCTACAAAGCTTCTCAAAAGTGATAATTTGCTGGTTTGTTCTGTTTTATAAATTGACAACTCCATATCTTTGTGTTTCAGACTGGAATATATGCTGGGATTTTTTTTCCAAAATAATAGATGAATCAATAACAAAAGTCATCATTAGTTGCACTCCTTGGATTAATGAATTATTTCCCCTATTGCTGTGTGGCATATAAAGAGATGACACATTACAGTTTGTTACAAGAACTCAAGCACTGTGTTCATGTCAGGTTGAGAGTTGGCATAAAAAGTTAAAGTTTTTTCATTTTCTGTCCCTTTAGTTACTTTGCTGTTTACATGCCTTTTTACACAAACATGTAGGCAGCCCCCTCCCTGTAGGGCTCCATGCACTAGAATAATGGGCATTGTTAAGTCATATACACTGTGGCCTTGGATATCTCTCTGTACGATTTGTAACAAGAAAGAAAACAAAAAAATGTAGCTAAAGGGCAGGATGTGAAATGTTCAAAGTCTAGCTGTAAATTGTGGGGGTTAGAGTGAGACTCCTACAGCCTGTGAGGAGGCAAAAAGGAAAGTATTGTTGTTTGGCTGGGCTCCATGTCCTGGTACCGACATCTCCACACTGATTCTGACTTTGCTGAGACCTCAAAGCTTAAGGTCATTCCTCTAATATTTCCACTCTCTGTTAATATAGTACAGCAGGTCTGATCTAATGTATGGTATGATAAACTTTCTGCTGTCTGTAAAGCCTAATTGAATCAACCTGAGAGAAAAACAGAATTGTACAAGCAAATCTAACCCGTGCCCTCATAAATCACACTCCCTTGGAGATGGTAAAACATTTACACTGCTCTGTTACTAACTCCCATTACCAAAGACAGTCACGCCTAACTTTCCCATATCTCCACGTAGCATTACTCATATCAGTGCTGCTGAGAAACAGAGCTGGACAGCTCTTCCTTGCTTTGTGCTCTGAGCTTTGATCTCTCTCAACTATCCACGTACTCTTTTGCTTTGTTGTTTTTTGTTTACAGCTCCAGACATCTTTGAGCGATGTTTGACAAGCAGCACTACGAGAGTCCACCTGTCTACAGTCCTCCATCCAACAATGGCTTTGGCCCTCCGGGCAGCTTCCAAGCCCCTCAGAGTGATTACAACGCCTATCCACCTCCACCGGGATCTTATTACATTGAGGACAAACCGCAGCACTTCTACAAATGGCTGTCACCTCCGGGGATCATCAAGGCCATGATGGCTACGGTGATCGTGTTGTGTGTGGCAATATTTGCCTGCGTAGCTTCCACCCTCATGTGGGACATGCAGTATGGAATGGGAATGGGAATGGGCTATGGTAGCGGATACGGCCTCGGCAGCTACGGTTCAGGATATGGTGGTTATGGAGGGTATGGAGGAGGTTATGGAGGCGGCTATGGAGGAGGCTATGGCAGCTATGGCTCCTACATCTCACCTTACTCAGCCAAATCTGCCATGATTGCCATGGCAGCAATTAACTTCATTGGAGCACTGGCCTTCTTCATCACCAGCTTCTCAAAATCTAACGCTGTCCGCAGTAGGAAGTTCTTTCTGGCCCTAATGATAGCCAGCATCATCATGGCTGTCCTGGAGGTAAGACTCAGTCACAATATATGGTTTCCATATGTTTCTGTTGCAACCGCTTCTCTGTAGTTTAAGAGTCTCCAATCACTGTGTAAGGAAGAAACATAAAATCTGACACTGGTGATGGGTGATTAATTCAAGAAAATTTCTCAATAGAGGGAACAAGAGAGCAAAATATTGTAGGAATCACACACAGAAAACTTTCAATTCAGACTGAAGTCTAATTTTCTTCAAACTGTGTCTGGCACTAGACTTCTTTCCTCTTTGAGTTCCTGCTTTTCCTAATCCACTAATATGCAGAACCAAGCACTTTATGTTTTACTCTCCAGAATAAGGACATTAAGGACATTACTTCTCATAGATTTTACAGGTCCTTGTCTATTGTTTGTGTATTTTTCATGTCAGAGGCTTAGAATACAATGACTATAAGCTGATTGAATAAAATGTAGCCTAAAATACTACACACACCTCAAATTCTGGACAAAATATTCAGTCTCCTGTAGCTCTATGCAAATATCTCAAGACCAAAATAACTCAAAAGCCACTCCCTAACTAAAACAGGTCATTATCCAGCTAAAAAAATAAGATTGAGAACAAAATACTTAAATCATTGTTGTAAGGGACAGCTTAAACTGGAATTCATTTTCAGAATCACACAAAGCACACATAAAGATTGTTGACTTATGTTAATAATCTGCTGCCTTATACATGGTTCTACATTGTAAGTGTTTTAAAACAATATGTGTGCACGACATTAGCAGTATTACATTAGCCTTTCCCTGCTGAAGCATCTCACATTCATGCCTTATATTCAGTTTCCCATACCACTTTCCAACTAACATTAAAAACATTTTCAAACACCTGTATCTGTAATGAACGGTATTTAAGTAAGTAAATAATAGATAAAACCCTGAATACCAGAAGTTTAATCTGAAACAGGACTTACACAGTATTTGCTGAGTTGGTTAAACATGTTCATGCAGATGTTTGTTCAGAATCATCTTTATGCTGCTTAGCATACAGTTAAATAATACTGTAGATCCATAAAATGAAAAGTCACTAGTATTTTTGGGATCTAAGCTGTTGCTTTTATTACTCCCTGTTGGGCATAAACGTGTATAAGCCTATAGATGCTAAATATGGAAAGAGAGTCTTCAGTTAGAGTAGATGTATGACTTCACTTTATTTTCATTAAATCCTCAACTTTTTGTTTTTTATTTTTACATGAGGGCTTTCTTTCCTTCTGCTCTTAAATAATTCCAGAAACACAGTAATTTTCTTAAACCTGTAGGAGTATAAAGGTTCATTTGTACTGAACACATTATGAAAATAAGTGTAGGTACAAGCAGAGCATTTACTGTAACAAACAAGCGTCTATAAAAGTGTGAATGTTTCCAGCTGATTAAGCTCCAGCAAAGCATTGTTTACAGACAGACTCGAGAACACTAGAGAATCATTAAAATAAAACTTGTTGTTGTACTGTACCACTTTGCACAGGAGCAAAATACTAGAAGGACTTGTTTGCTGCTGAAAGTGTGTCCTCACATGATCTGACTGTGTTCTCTTAGTCATATTTTAACTGATAAGTGAGGAACACTACTGTAAGTCTTTTTCAGTGAGAGACTGACACACTTTATAATCATATATATCAATATGACTGTCTTTTTTTCCTAGGGCATCATAAGCATTGTCTACATTGTTGGGGTGAACCCAATGGCCCAGGGCTCCTCCAGTATGATGTACAATCCAATGCTTATGATGTGCCAGAACCTCTACCAGACCAGCTACTCACAAATGGGAGGAGTGGGAGGCTTCCCCATTTACAACCAGTATCTCTACCATTACTGCTTTGTGGATCCACAGGAGGTTTGTAGATATCTTGTAGATATCAAGGGTTGCATCAATATTGACTCTCTTAGGGGTAATTTCAAGTGAGTGTAGTATACTCACAGTGGCCTCATGATCTTTAATTGATTGGGCTAGAGCTGTAACTGTGTTGTAACATTTTAGAGTTGTATCAGCACCAAATGCTTTGGTTTTACCTGGGCATTATACACCATCTGCACCATCGAAATTTGCTGTTAGAAATGTGGGAATAGTGAGATAAATTTGGAGTCATAAAGAGTATTATCGCCTCCCACGTTATCAGCCTGTACTCTTTGTAATCTGTCATGATGAAGCATTTGTTACAGTTTCGGGTACATGAAGCCACAAACTGTGATATGTATTTTTCCCAGTGACGTTACAAGTGTACTCTCTGTACCAGGATAAACCAGTTGTCTTTCATAACTTATCTCCTTGAGAACTTTCCACAGTTTATTGTCATGTTCTTGCTTTTCTAGGGAGTTGCCATGGTGTGTGGATTCCTTGTTGTCATCGCCTTCAGTGTTGCAGCTTTTTTTGCACACAAAACAAGAGGGAAGATCTGGCGCTATGGGAAACCCAACATCTACTGGGAAGAGCCACTTGTTGGCGGGAAGACCTCAGAGGGCAGAGATGTAGAGGAATGGGTAAGAGACAACAGGATGGTAGTCATAGTTTAATAAGACCAGGTTTACATGGGATTTACAAGGAAAAATCACATTTTGACCCTGACTGACCCTCAGTGTGTGCATGTACAGCTTCTAGTCAAATGAACAGGGTCACAGAGAGTTTAAATCCAGCCTAAGGAAAGTTGATGGAATACAGTGTTCACCGACAGATTTGATTAAATGATGAAAACATCAACTACGGTTGTTTTTCTGCATTTTCTGCCACCACAACTGATACAGGACAGATGCTTGTCCCCATCTGACACCAAATTTGCTTTGTGACAAATTAGTTTCCACCCATTTTTTTACAATGCAAAGTAGGTAAGAAGGTAGGTGATCAGTGAGGTAGTCATGCTGCTGAGGTAGTCATCAGTTATAAAGATAGGTTGGGTGACCGTGGTGATGCAGGGGGAGCAAATAGCTGAGCTAATACTTTGCACGTTCCCGAGGTCGGTTTGTCACCAGTTATGCTATTTCCGGCACAATATGTCCAGATGTTGTCCACCAGTTCATATCTCTCATATGTTTTCATCGACTGCCTTTATGAGTTGAGAGTCCAAAAGGAGTGTCATATACAGATCTTTATGAGTTTATAGGATCCAGCAGGGAAACAGTCACAGTCACACTACCAACACAACAGTGTTTCCTCCGACTGAGTCACTTTGTTCAGGGTCAGGGCTGATAGCAGTCAGTGATTGTTTGCTCATGGTGTACTACCTGGTTTCACTCTGAATAATCATTAACCACCTGAGAAGATAGTGAGCGGGCAGGCGGTTTCTAGAGAGCCTGCCTTTGGGGTTTTAAATGTCAACATCAGGCTAGTCACATGACAGTGATGCAGTTGATTATTGACCTGACCTGCCAGTGATGCTTGTTTCATACAGTGAATGACAATGAGTTTACATCAAAAGCACAGGTTTTAAAATTTAATGGGCGGTCATAAACAGCACCAGTGGAGTACTTTGACATCCTGTAAACCAGGCTTGGAATACCATCATATCTCTACACATTTGTAATAAGCAATTTTTACATTTGTTTTAAAACTGGGACTGTAGAATATTTCCTTTCTGTTTCTACAATCTGTTGTCAGCATCCTCACCATCACATAATGTCCACATCCAGTGATTATTCAAACATTGTGCAGGGGACACAAATCAATACAAGTATGCAAGAAAACAATTATTAAACAAACTAAATATTGCTAGTTGACCCCTTAACCTCACATCCACCCACATATTTGACCATGGTAACTTCCAGTTTTAACTCTGGCATTCACAATTTATTTAAAGGCAGAGCTACTTGTTTTATTTATTATAGTAGGTAGTACACTTAAAGGACTCAAGAGTATCAGCTCAGCTCTGTCATTTGACCAGATTTGTCAATGAAGGATGCAAAAAGTGCTGCTACATGAAAATACTAAAAGAAGCACTATGCAGACACAGTGTTCCACTGGATTATATGGAGCTGTTTGTTTATGAGAGTAGTGGTTGTCATTGCCAAGGACATGGCATCATGCTCATGGAGGTGTTCAGGCAGAACAGAGTAGACGAGACAAGCCTAGAGTGAATCATCTGACTAGCACTAGTGCCATGCTCACTGATGTCATCGGACTTATTGTATGTACAGTAATGGTGTGTACACTGCTGCATTTACAAGTTTTACAGTTCAGGATATTTCAATGTAAATGCTGTTGTAAGAAAGACTGAGAGACATAAAGGTTGGGGAAAAGGACAGAGTTTCCAGGGGAGACGAGTCTTAGAGGATTTGATGACTGTTATTACAATCACATGATTATTTATTTAAGCTAGCCAGCCTCAGAGATTAAAATGTATATATATGTTGTTGGATATGTCTGACTTTTGCTCCCTGAAGACTTTATTCTTTTTAAAAACAGGTCACGTCAGTTTGTTTAGTAGAATTGACCCCTTGTCCTCAGCTACATAATATTTCCAATGTCCCACACTGCAGTTATTATTTTCCTTCTTTGCTGCGCTACCTGCATACTGTTATCTGTGCCACAAAATGAGTCATCAGACTTGTTTGGCCCCTTTAAACACAAGGCCAGTGACAGTCGAAGGCTGTGGTTGGTTTAAGATTGGACCCATCACTGTTGCTGAGCTTGGGAAGGCCTGGCATGCTCTGATGACCTCACACACTGGCCTCATTCAGCTCATCTGGGGGGAGCTGCATTGTGTCTGCTGCATGAGGTCATCAGAGTCGGTTTCTGCAGGGCTGTCTGTGCGCTGGAAACACTGAAGTGCTGCAGAGATGTACAGTGAAAGCATCCTGGGCTGGTTTCATATACACAAATTAAAATGTCCAAATGGATATTGAATGTGTTTTAAAGCAACAGTTTAACATTCTCATATGTAGCATAATATTATTTTCTCAAACCTATCATTTATTGAAAGGACAACAGAGAGGTAAACTTCACTGGTCAACCTACTTAGCTGCAGTTGATTTTATTGGCCTGCAGCAGTTATCCTCACAGATGGTGCAGTCCATGGTTGGCGTGTGGCTCTTGTGATTTGAAAATACATTATCGCTAGTTTGACAAAGCACAAGTGCATCATCTTTGATGAAGCATATTCCGTCATGACTCTCCTTGCCACTGCTCATCTCCCTCTTCTTTAATCACACATGTACTTCTCCCTGACTTTGCATGCCTGTCTGCTTTGCTCCTTCTCCCCTCATCAACATCCACAGCTTAATTTCCCTGTTCCACTCTCCATCTTTGCCTTCATATTTGTCTTCACCAGGTGCGGGACTCTCATACATTCTCACTGTTGCTTACTACTTACTGTGCTCACACACTCTGCTCACAGTCCAGCAGCTGCTGTGCTGCACACTAAGAGGGCATTGTTGGGATTCCTACATGAAGTGCAGTCTTCAAATTGTATTCTCCTGCAGCTGCAAGAGGGGCAACGCTCCCCCACCCAGGCACTCCACCCACCATGATTATTGTTTTTTGGGGGCTAGGCCGATGTTCCTGCACTGTGCGGAATTTAGGAGAATGCTCAGTAGCGTAACACCAAAGTACGCAGGAGAGTGAATGTTTTTTTTTAACAGCAAATATTAATGTCCTCTTGTGCAGGTGCAGTCTTCTTTCTGCTGTGTTTTTTAGGGGCCTCACATTATCTTTGTATTGCTACATTTGAAAAACAACTAAAGGGTTTCTACTAATTATAGGTCATTTAGCCTTTCAGGTAGCAGAGAAACAGTAAAACCTGTTTAAAGTAGACTTTACTGCTTTGTGTGGAGGTTGTGTAAAGGGCATCTAATGATTGATGCATTTAGTGGACCCAGTGGACGTGGAAGAAAACGGGACCACTCCTGAGCCCTTCATTGTGAGGAATTCCCTCATGCACGCTGTCTGAGCTCACAGGAAGGACTTGAAAAAACAGAATAAGATGAATTTATTTACATGACAGACCTTTTGTTTGGAGAAATAAAGGAAGAGCACATCCGTTCCAGGTGTTCTCGAAGACGTAAGACAATGGAAAGGAGTGAAAGCAAAGCTTGAGTCATTGTCAGACATTTTGTGGTGTATATGATATCATCATTAGTACTTTTTTAGGTTATAAGGCTGTCAGAAACAAAATATGTGAAAACTTGTGCAAATACTAAAATAAGAGACAATCTATCCAGTTGTTTATGGTCAGTGTTGGGTGTATTTTATAATTAGCCAAAAGTCATTCTTTGTTTTTGTTCACTTGACCTTTTCAAGCATGGTGAACCAAACAGATAACCCTCATTTCACTAAAGAGTTAGACCATGCTGTCCAATTACGTGCCTGACTGCTCTTTCAAACTTTAAGCACTAATTATCAAACTTCTTTCTCTGGTGTTGAGATAGCTTTTCTTTTGTCCTCAAGTTAAGACCTAAGGAAAATAATGATTGCTTTAACAGGATGTCAGTCAGAAAATGAGCCTGTAGTGTGGCCTGGTCTTTGTGAGTGCTATAGTTGTTTGTTTGTATATGCTGAGTCTGTTCCTTCTGTTTTTTCCTGCCTGCTGTAGGTGAACAATGTGGAGGAAAGCCGTAGTGTTCAAGACGCCCCTACCCTGCTGGTGTCAGAGAAGGGAGCTGGGTTGCTCAACGCCTCAGCGAACAGTGTCATCTCCTATCCCCCAGCCAAGGTGGACAGCAGCTCTTATAATGAGGACACCTTCGACAACAACGAGTTGGTAACCCTGTATTCTCAGGCCCCTGTTCAGCTCAGAGTCTATAATTCTACATAGAAATCAGAAAAAGCATTTGTTTCTGAACTCTTTTTGAAAGTCACAGTGAAATAGAAGTTAGAGTGTCTTTATCCTCTGTAATATCATAGATTTCCGAGTGATACTAAATATCTTGGTACTGATTAGTTATTTGAGGGATTTAAATTCGATCCATTGATTGGATTGCTCAAAAGAGGGAGTTCTTTAGCAAACACACCTTGACATGGAGCCACGTAGAAGCTGTAGAGGTCTGCTGGCCTTCATCTACACCTCCCTCACTGGTGTTTTTAGATCAGGAGGAAGAAGACAAGGGACAAATGAAGACAAGAAACTCTTGAAAATGTAAAAGTTGTTGACATTAAAACACACACCTTTGACCCACAGAGCTGGGTATTGGTAACTGATACCTTTAAGGTATCAACAGAAATAATCTAGTGCCAAGTAGTATCGTAACTTCTCCAGTCAAATGATAACTGTATTCAATCTTTTTTTTTTGATCTGGGGGTCAGATCCCAGACCGTCCTGACTCCCCAGCGCATCACCAATTTTTTTTCCTCCCAGCAAACAGTCAGTTCAGCGTCTGCTTGGTTATCATGAGCTAACACAGCAACAGCTGTTAAACGGTCCTAACAAACTCACATCAACACCAAAACAGCAGGTCCCTGTCATTAAACCCATTGATTACTGTAATGTTAGCCATATGATGCTAACAGTTAGCCTCGTCATTGTGTGTGTTCAGTGAAGTCAAGCTTTGGTGATAAAGTTTGCAGGTCAGCGTGTAGAGATGCTACCAAAACATTCAGAAGTAGCGCTATACTACATCAATCAATCAATTTTATTTATAAAGCCCAATATCACAAATCACAGTTTGCCTCACAGGGCTTTACAGCATACGACATCCCTCTGTCCTTTGGACCCTCACAGCGGATAAGGAAAAACTCCCCAAAAAACCCCCTTTAACGGGGAAAAAAACTGGTAGAAACCTCAGGAAGAGCAACTGAGGAGGGATCCCTCTTCCAGGACGGACAGACGTGCAATAGATGTTGTACAGAACAGATCAACATAATAAATTAACAGTAATCCATATGACACAATGAGACAGAGAGAGAGAGAAAAAGAGAGATGCAGGACAGACGGTAATGACAGTAGCTTACAACAACATTAATGAAAGTAATAATATTATTATTAATAATAATATATTAATATCTGATAGTATACATGTGTGACGACAATCATATGTGTATAATAACAGTAGAAGTATGACTAATGATAACAGCAGCAGCAGGAGGCACCTGCCAGGACAGAGACAGAGAGACAGAGAGACAGAGAGAGAGAGAGAGAAGGAGAGAGAAGGAGAGAAGGAGCCCGGTGTATTATAGGGGGGTCCTCCGGCAGACTTAGCCTAAGTCAGCCTAACTAGGGGCTGGTACAAGGCAAGCCTGAGCCAGCCCTAACTATAAGCTTTATCAAAGAGGAAAGTCTTAAGTCTAGTCTTAAATGTGGAGATGGTGTCTGCCTCCAGGACCGCAACAGGAAGATGATTCCACAGGAGAGGAGCCTGATAGCTGAAGGCTACATGCCACTGCATTCACATTATGGGTATCGAATAAAATATGATATTGGTAACGGTATCACCTTAAGGATACAAGTACAGTATTTGCACTGGCATAATTTATTAATGGATACCCAGCCCCGTTGACCCATGGTATCACTCTGCAAACCACTAGGACCAAAGAGCATGGTTATGTATGTTGAGCCAGCTGCCCCAAATCCCGTTTGATTGGATAAATACCCCTGAGTCGTCAAAAATATTTTAATGTTTCACAGGACAAGAAAAGAGAGGAGTTTTAAGATTCAAATACTCCTAGTGATTTGTTTTGATATATATTTGGCACATAACAAGAGGTAAGTGGCCAACTGACACAAAAATGCAGAATTAGAGCTTGTAAAATGTAGTTGTTATTTTACTGTGTCCTTAAGAAATGCTTCAGCTTAGCTGTGAATGTCTCTCCAATCGGACAGATTTGATTCTATAAACTTTAAAGCAAAGATTCCACATAAAAAAAATGAACCTCCAAACATGTGACTCACACAAGCAATATCTAATCACTGCTCTGTTTTAAAGCCCATGAAAACATATTGCCCTGCCCACAAAATGAGCTCTGTGTGTGTGTGACCTTTGAGCCCTTGTTGGATTAACGTTGCCTTGGTTTTTTTTTTTCATATTCATTGAAATCTCCGGGGAAGGGAAAAGGCTGGATGTTTGTGAACAGATGCATTTGCTTTACTTCAAAGCTAGAAATTATTTCTCAAGCACCTTGTTTTTGTTTGTATTAAAGTCCTCAAGACTGTAGTGTTTGTGTGTGTGATGAAAAGTGCCTGCTCTTCACAATTTCTTAACATCTCAGCACCTTTAAGCCTGGCTCAGAGGTATTCTCTGACTGACCTGATTAAGGTGGACTGCACTGTTAACGTTCACGGACACTAGGACAAAATAATCAAATTTTACGTAGCGGGATTTAGATTCTGTTCAAAGTACAGAATATTATTATTTTGATGATTTCCTATCTCTCAGAGTAAACATAGCTGCCGTTTTCATAAGCAGAAGAATGTCAGAGTGCTCTGTTGTTGACACACTGCAGCCTTTTTGGAAGAACTTGTAATATCTGCACCGCTGGATTTGGATTCCTCTGCAAATCCCTACAAACCTACAAAATTGAGCATGTTTCCTCCTTCCCTTTATTGCTGTACCTGCTGCCTGGTCACTGAGGGCCCTCCACATGGCACAGATTCAAATTATAGGGTGTGAGCAACAATAGTCATTAGAGGTCCAGAGTGTTTACCTTCCTCCATATGGTATCTGTCTGGGCCATATCAGTTAATATTTGTTTTCTTTAGACACCGTCTCACATTAGACCGTCCTTTATGTTCTTGCTGTTATTTGGGTCATGGTGTTCTTTTAGCTTGAGTTTTATTACATGGTTAAGGGCATAGTGTTTCTACTGGGGATGGAGAAATATTTTAGTAAGGTTTATGCATTAATAATACAGCATGTGTATGTATAAATGTGCAAAGATGCAGAATATTTAGCTTTTTTGGGAGCTGAAGTACCTCTGACTTCATTGTATCACCTCCACTGCTGAAACCTTTGTGGCTTAGACCTTACAAAACCCAAACACACATTCTGCTTTTAGTCACCTCTTTAAGGTTTTATTTGACTAATTATCCAACCTAATTGCAGCCCTAATGCTGCTCCCGTAAGCAAGACTTTCTCATTATTATCAATTTCTGTAGTGGCTCCAGTGAAAGCCAGCCAGACAGATTTTTCATGTTTATGCTGTTGTCCTGCAGGTACTCAGAGAGGACCACCAGCAGACCATCAGAAGCCTTCTCCCATGGTGGAAGAACCAGCTCCAGCCCTTCAGAGGGGACCGGTGGGGGCCGCAAACCCTCTGCCAACAGGGGCAAGAGACGCAGACGTAACCCCGAGCTGGATGAGTCTCAGTATGAGACAGAGTACACCACAGGAGGAGAAACAGGGAATGAACTCGATGGAGAAGAGTGGGAGAGGTGAGCATGTACTATTGTATCTCTGTGTAGGTCATACATTATCTGGATTAAAGATGGAAATGTCTTTATCTAATAACACAAAATGCAGTCACTCCCTGAGGAACAGACCTACATTTTTTTTTAATTTCAATGAACAACTGTAAGCTCAGAAAATGAAGCTCACATGAGAGTGACATGATTTACAGGAAAAATGCAGCTAGAATATCTTTTGGACAGAAGTATAGAGCAGCAGATAAACAAATGCTTAAACAGCAAATCATGGAAAAGGCTTCAGTCTGTATATACTTCACTCTGTCCAGGAGAGTAGTTAATCCTCTGAGGCATGCCAGTTCACATGGGCTGTACTCAGAAGTAATGAGAGAATTGGGCCAAAGGTACAAAACATTGGAGTCAATGTAGTTATTGAGAAAGAAGTTTGGCTGTGGTTTGATTCGTCCAGACTAACACACCATAATTGAAACCACTTACAGTATACCTCCTTGACCTGTGCACTGTGTTCCTGTGGCTTAGTAGTAAAGCTGATAACCTCAGGTTGAGGGTTGTAAAGCATGTTATTCTTGTGCAGGAACACTGAAAGTCTAGTATCTGTGATGCTGATCCCTCTCATCACCTCGTCCCTCCTTCTCATCCTCCAGTGCATACCCAGATATTACATCTGATGCTCAGCGTCACGACTACAAGAGAGAGTTTGATGCTGACCTTAGGGAATACAAGCGTCTTTGTGCTGAAATGGACGACATTAACGACCAGTTGAACAAACTCAGCCGGCAGCTGGACACACTGGATGAGACCTCTGCCAAATACCAGGTCAGATACACACAGTGATCACCTCCTAAACTCAAGAGAAAGATATATATATAAGCCTAAATTACAAATGAGGATTGCAATAGGAAAGAGCATCCCTGGTACTGTAACTCAAACAGTGGATGGAGATAAATAAATACACCACATAAATAAAGAAAATATATTCTTGTGTAGTGTACCAACAAGGGAGAGCCTCACTTGGCATCAAAATAATATAATGAAATATTTATTCTTAACAGCACTGATCATATATGTAGAAATTTCCCAATAAATACTGATTTTGCTGCAAAACAATTCTGCCAAAAAACATTTCCTAATGTGTAAAACACACCTAATTTTTAAAGTTTTCTTGAGCCACCCACCCTTCAGTGCTCTGGGGCTTCTAAGCAAGAACTCCTGCCTTGAAAATAAAGACAAAAAGGTTATTAATTGTTGTTGAGTAATAAAAATGTAAACCTTGCAGTGCTAATTAGTCTGAAAGCAAATTTGCCACCTTGACAGTTCACAATCAGGCAGCAGATATCATGTAATGTGCTGAAGTTTTACAAACTGTTTCAGGAAGTTACATGCTCTCATATCTTTTAACATTTGAACACACCTTTTGAGTCACTGCGCTGATTAGTTCAACCTCATATGCAACATATTTGACTTTGTGTGGGGGGTTGTTGTTGAAATATATCTCGGTTTCTCTGTCTCCTCCCACCTGGCAGAATTCATTATGGCAGCGAAGACTCAGATAGACACACAAAGACTAAAATCCCTGATTATTAAAGTCTTGAATACACAGAAAAACAGATTTAAAACAGGAGAAAACAAGTTTGCTTCAAAGTTCAGTTTGTGTGTGAGAGACACGATCACAACATATGCTTTTTCCCCATTTTTCACAGGCTGTAGCAGAGGAGTATAATCAGCTGAAGGATCTGAAGCAGGTAAGACTTCATTAAAAATATATCTTGCAGTTGTTTGTGGCAGCATAAGTTCATAACATCCAGCTACAAATTGTCACCTCATTTATTGTTCTTGGTATTCTATTGCACATAAAGCTTGCACAGCTCTATCTTAGAGCTTTTAATACTTTTTTTAAACTGATGAGCTAACATTTTCCCTGTCCAGTTTATTAAATAACTCATACGTGTAACACTGTTTCATATTACTAAATGACTCATCATGTGCTCTCTCTGTTGTGTAGACGTCAGACTACCAGTCCAAGAAGAAAGAGTGTCGCAGGCTGAGACACAAACTGTTCCACATCAAACGCATGGTGAAGGACTACGACAAGACCCACTGATGAACCCACTGAGTCCTGACGCTCAGCTCTGGGGTCCATACAGCAAACACTCACGGACAAACAGGCCAAGATACACTCCAAAATACCACAAAGACTGTGACATGTCGAGACCAAAGTTACCTGTACAGAACCAGCACACACTGGATACGCTCACAAACACACACATATAGGGATATGTTAAAAATAATGATCTTGTGTTTTCCTTTACTTTGATCAGGTATGTATAAATTGGAAGAAAATGGAAGCAGGGCACTCAGCTGTAGCCACTTCCACAGCAAACACTGCCTTTTCTCTCAAGAGTCAGCTCATTGTTTGCAGTGTTCAGTCACCATGAGGATCAGAGGGAGTGGTTTGGAGCGTACTTATGTGAAAGTCACCCGACCTTCAGTCACCTGTGATAACACTGTGCTCAGTTTTTGTGGCTGTTTGTTCTCCAACTTTTCTTTGTTTTATCTCCACAGATAAGAGGTGGAACAGTATTGTAGAGCAGGTAGTAATGGGTGAGACCGCTTGCTGGGATTGTTCAGTATGCAGTTTCTTTAACCCTTGGCATGGCATTATGTCTGTCACAAATGAACTTTAGTTGTGCTTTTCTCATCTTTTGCGTCAGTGTTCGTGACTAACTTCAGCAGCGATGAAGTGAACTGCTCCCTGCCGGGAACATGTGTTTACTGGCTTTTGTCTAAACCAAGATGTTTATACTGGTTGTCATAGATGCAGAGACCAAAAAGGAGACAAACTGGCCAGTAAGATACATGTGGCATTGTTGTTGTGTAAATACTTTTAATAAATCCTGTTGATGCTACATACCAAGAACAAATTTATAGTATCTGTCTCTTAGATTCAGCAGATATCCTAGCATTTGTGATGACCTTATCTGTTATTTGTACATACTAAAGACCCTTAGTGGCTTGTTTTGTAATCATTCAAAATGTGCTAAGCTATGCAAATGAGTAAAAACATCCAGACTATTTTTATATTTTTATCACGCACGCTCCTCAACAAACTGGAAAACACTTGTTTCTGTCACTGTCTATAAGCTACGCTCATCTCTACATCTGATTCTTTGCCAATGAAAAATGATCATCTGCTAATTTTTGTATTAATCCACTTCATGTGCAAAGTGTTAAGATCTAGTGTACGTTATGAAATTGTTCAGACACCCTTTTGATTTGTCATGCATTTGTATTTTTATGAAGAACATTGTTGTTATTTTACAAACCGTTTGCGAGCCATTTATTTTTGTATGAATTTATTTTCTTCGATGCTATTATAAGACCATTTTTTGTAACTGGTTACTTCCCTAAAGTATGATGTCTAAAAAAGTATTGAGTTCAATAATAATAAACATCTCTAATTCTCTTAAAACTAGTCTGTCTCTTATTACTTATTCTATGTTTTGCTAACCCAGCTGATTTGCAGATATCTGCAGCTTTGTGCATCTGCAGGGAGTGTCCACCAGGGAGAGCAGGATGACTTCAGGAAACACTGTTGATCCAGTCACAGTCAGCTCAGTGTGAGTAGCTACTGCCCTCTTTTGGTATTTTACTTTAAAAACTCTTTACCTAAAGCTGTTCACCACCAGTATTTGCTGTGTCCCAATTCCACATAACACACTGTTTGTATACAAAATGTGCTTTTAATTGTCTCTGTATGCTGTTTTTGCAGTTACTAAACAAAACACTTGTAAAATGTCATACTATATAAACTGCTGAAATGATACAGAACAGTCAGTCACAAGAGAAAGCTGAATAAAATATTTCATATTTAAATTACATGTCATAGATCTTCCTGTAGCTGTTTCACCATCATCTGCAATCTATATCTTTTCAGCTGTGTGTAGTGCCTCTGTTTCCTTTGTTATCATTATCAACATCCAGTGGGTCGATCTCAATTAATCTATTAAACCCAGTGCTGTAGATCAATGGTTCCCAACTGGTGGGTTGTGGTCCAAAAGTGGGTTGCGGGTTCACTGTGAATGGACCACAAGTGACTCGCGAACCTGTCAAGTTTGTAAAAAACATGCTTTATTTTGAAGTATAGTGAATTTCTGGCACAGAGCTTTTATTTTGAAGAGCTGTTTCTTGCTGTAGAGTCAGTGACTAATGGACGCCTACCTGACAGAGACATGGCCAAATGCAAGTATGACGCTGAACATATTTAACTGTGTGGACCTTAAACTAATGACTAAAGAGAAATTTGTACGCCGTGGCTGGACCAGTTGGGAACCACTGCTGTAGACCATGTTTGTCCAGCTGATTAGAAAACTGTTAACTCTATAAACCACTGTGTCTCTGTGACCCTCTGTTTGTGTGTCTTCCACAGGCACAGCTGTTTGCCTCTCACTCTCTCTCCTCTCAGTTTCTCCTCCTTGTCCTCTCTTCACTCAGGCTTCTCTGTGCTGGACCACCGCCCGTCCTGGGACCTTTCTCTCCCCTGACTGTTCATAACTCATTCCAGATGTTTGGATCTGGATCTCTATTCTCCAGGAGCTTCAGCCTCTCCTACTGCCTACTTTCTCTTATCTGTGTGAATGATGTGCTTCAGTTTTGCCTCTCATGTGTTTGTGTAGTGTCATCTTTCCAGGTTACATGGCTGAGCGGCGGTGGTGTGGCTCAAGCTCTATCTGTTTGGCGACAAGTTACTTGACATCATCCCGGATCCATTCTTCCTAGTATATGTTTACAGTCTGTCTATAATTTTGTCATTCTGTACACACAAAATCTCTTGCACGCCTGTCCATCCTGGGAAAGGGATCCTACCTGTTCCTGTTACATAGGTTTCTTCAATTTTTTCCCTGTTAAAAGTTTTTTTTGTTTTTCTTTAACCAATCAGGATGGCACGGACAGAGGGTGTCATGTGCTGTGCTGCTTGTAAAGCCCCTTGAGGCAAATTTGCAAGTTTAATGCAAATGTGTATGTCTAATATCAAAAACAGAGCTGTAACTAATGATGATCATTATCAGTAGTATCAGTATTTTTTGCAATTAATTTATTAATAATTTTGTCTATAAAATGTCACCATTAGTTAAAAAGGCGACATCTTCAAATGTCGTTTTGTCTGATAAACAGTGCAAAACGGAAACCTGTTTAATTTAAAGTGATATTAAACACAGTAAAGCAGAACGTCCTCACGATATGAAGCTGGAGCCCAGAAATATCTGACATTTTTTGCTTCTTTTGACTAATTAAATAAGCAATTATTGACCTCAGCTTCAATCGGGAACTTTAAATTACTAGCAAAGCGTTTATGAGTTTTATAGATGTTTGCAGTGTTTTAATGCCTCACATACTCAAGTCATCCAGAGAAGGAATGTGCATACTTTTATTTCTAGTAATGCAAAAAAATAACCAGTCAGCCATTTGAACGTCTTTTGCATTTTTAAGTTTTGGCATGGTCATTGAAACATGCGTCTTTTCAGAGTAAAGCTAAACAGTCAAATCACTATATTCCAACAAATGACACAAAGTGATTCAAGGACAGCACAAAGAGCTGTAGATGAAGTTGTCTGACAGCATCAGAGATGACTGTTGCCTTTTCTTTATGAATAATACAAAAAAAAGGTCATACCGAAAACACGTTTGTCCCCCACATTGTCTTTTCTTTCAGTCAGGTAATTTGGCAAGAAAAACATTTGTCACATTGAGCTGAATTTCATGGCAATAACACTCACAATTGTGACTACTTCGTACCCTTTATCTCAGTACCAACAAACACCATAACCTTTACAACACTTACAACACGTGGAGTACCTTGCATAAGCATAATAATTATCTGAAAGTGACCTCTGCCCACTTCAGGCTGTGCTTTCACACAGATATCTTTTTTTTTTTTTTTGAAGGAGACAAATGTGAAAAAGAAATTAAATGAACTACCTCTACCTTTATAAAAGCAAAGCAAAGAGTCTCCTGTTTGCAGAGATAAGTCAGAAGGGTCACTTAACTCAGTGTTTCTGTAAATTAGATATCAAACTTACATTAAACATCACATTTCAAAACATTTTCAAATATATTTTGGCCAAAGTCCGATGGACAGACACGTCTATAGGGGAACATTAGTGTTTATGGTTTTTGTGATAAAGATACTTTGATCCCTTTATATTTATCTTTAGCACATGGATATACAATCTTTGTCTTTGATGTATAAAACATGAGGTAACAATGTTTGACAGGGATGTGACTGTCTGAGGAGCCAGGGTGTGTTTCAGTACGTTCACCTCCACTTCCTGTCGATTACTACTGCAAGAACATGACTGTGTAATATACTATATATTAAAGGAGCAGCTCAACATTTTATGGAATTCGGTTATTCACTTTTTTACCTATTGTACAGTAAAAATGGAGCTGGACCCAACAGCTGGTTAGCTTAGCTTAGCATAAAGACCGGAAATTGGGGAAACGGCTAACTTGTCTCTGTCCAAAGGTTGCAAAATCTGCCTACTAGCACTTTTAAAACTCACTAATTAAAAAGTTGTATTAATTTGTTGAAAATTACGTGTAAAAAAAGTCAAATTGCTGTTTTTTAGTGGGATATTCGTCTGACTTTTGCAACCAGTGGAGACTCCAGTTTTAGGTGTGCTGGCAGGCTGATTTTATTCTTTTCAGCCACAGCCAGGCTACTTGTTTCCCCTGTTTCCAGTTTTTATGCTAAGCTAAGCTAACCAGCTACTAGCTGTAGCTTCATATTCACTGTACAGACATATAAGTGCGATCAATCTTTTCATCTAACTCTGCGAGAAAGCAAATAAGCGTATTACCCAAAATGTGTAACTATTCCTTTAAGTACATAACAGACAAAATATGTCTTGTAGTGCTTCATATAGTACAATATACAATGCCCATGCCTCTTTTTCGTTTTCATGCTGTACAAGGTGACACACTGCAGTCTTCACAAATACATTTGGTAACAAAAGTCTGATATTTCAGCCCACATATCAAACATGACACGACTGATCTGCACGACATGTCCCAGATATAAAGCTCTGCCTGTAAAGATGGCACTGCTATGGCTTTATTTTCAAAAACAAAGCAGAGGGAGAACACACACACACACACACACAGAGCCTGGGTTCAAACTGAGTCACATTAGGGGTGATATGGGAGGAGGTAGTACAGGCACATGGCCTCATGTTAGAGTCTGCATTTTAATTAGAGCCCTGTGTTTTTGTCCATATTGAGACGAGAGAGATCAGACGAAGGTCAGAGCCAAACTGACAAGTGCTGCAAACACACACACACACACACACACACACACATATAAAGACAATTACACATTTTGTTTCCCTGAAAGCAGCTTTGGTGTGACACCCACCAAACTTTACAGAGCTAATGTGGGAAAAAGCTGACCTCTACATTCACAAACAAGAACCTTAAACAATCATGGATACCGGTTTGTGTTGAAAACATTCAGTTTGTACTTTGTATGTAATCTTTGTGAGCTCTGATTCCTCCCAGTCTGATCTCAGTCTGTCTCACTCTGGAGTCAACAGGTTTCACTGTCCTGGTACGTAGGGCCAGCTGATGGAGCTCCCTGACAGTTGCATGTCTCGGATCAGCGTCTCGATGGGTGTCTTGCCCACCAGCCGCATGAAGAAGAGCTGGGAGATGAGGTTGGCCGGCACGGCACGCAGAGCCGGGAGGCGCAGCAGTAAGCGGCCGAAGCGCTGGGGCTGGTTGGGGTACTGCAACCTCTCGTACTCCGTTAGGGCCACCTGGGCCTTCTCCTGCAGGGACTCCACGTGGGCTGGGTCCGTCAGACCACATGCATCTGTGAGGCAGAGATGCACAGGGTTATCACTATTTGATTTTTTATACTTGTGGCTATATTATTTTATATGCTTATTTGCTTTCTTGCAGAGAAGATCCTACCCTCATATCTGTATAATAAATATGAATATATAGCCAGCAGTGAGTTAGCATAGCTTAGTACAGCAACTGGGAACAGAGGAATAGCTGGCCTGGTTCTGTACAAAGATAACAAAATCTTTCCACCGGCAGCTTGAAAGAAGTCTGCACTTGCCCAAGAAATAGTCACATAACTCTCTTAGACTTTGATTACACAAACAAGATGTAACATGCTAATTATTTTGAGCTTTAGAGGTGCTGGTAGGTAGATGTTGTCATCTTTGTACAGAGCCAGGTTTGCTGTTTCCTTCTGTTTACAGTCTTTATGCTAAGCTAAGCTAACATCTCCTGGCTGTAGCGTCATATTCAATGGAGTTAGAAGTGGTATCGACCTTCTCAGATGACTCTAAGCAAGAAAGTGAATTAGCATACATCAGCTTTTTCATTTAAAAGAAATGCTGTCTTTGTTTGTCCCCCTTCAGTGAGGTCAGAGGTTACATTTGGTCAAATCAAAGGATCCCTGGTGCTGGTGGGGATTTTATGTCTTGCTGGCCCAGAAACGTGAACCCTGCGCAATACCTCATACAGACAGTTTTGTTTTTTTCTATAAAGACACCTGGGATCAGTTTACAGCAAAGACAGTTACAGCAGCTTCAATCACTCAGATGGCCTCGCTTACCTGGTGAAAAGAGTGCAATGGCTTTGAGGCAGCTGTACTCGGCTGTGTCCACCTGCAGCCTGTTCAGCTTGTCCACCTGGTCCTGGAAAACCCTGACCTGGTCCATGAAGGACACCACGCGCTCGGCAGACATGGGAGATGAGTGGAACCCGGCAGCTGCCAGCAGAGGAGCCATGTGTAGAGGCAGAGCGGACTGAGCTGCGTTCAGGATGAAGAGCTCGCTCCAGCTCAGCCTCAGCAGCGCTACCTGTGGGGTTGATTGGGAATAAGAAAGGGTTGCTTATTAGAGTAAGGATTTGTGATAGGGCCATGTCCTCCAGGGTTCAGTTCCAGCATGGGGATCTTTGAGGCATATCATACTCCTCTCTCTGCCCATTTCAGTCTGACAAAGGTGTAAAATGCCCCAAAAAAATCCTTAAAAATAATAATAAGCACAGAAAACCCATAAAAGAAAAACAAAAGAGAGAAAGTAATAAGTCAACAGGTGTGTCTTGACTCACCTGCTCTGAGACTGGCAGCTCTGGGAAGTACGGGATGTTTCTTGCCCACTCGATGGTGCTGAAGAGGAGTCGGGCGGCCAGCTCACAGATGCTGTCGATGCCCATGACGGGGGCTCCGCTCGCAGATGCCTGCATCTGTGCCTGACTGTAAGGGGTCCCGTAGCGGCTGCTGGGGTACGGCTCAGCCCGGAGGAGCTGGGAGATGAGCTCCGACACTGGCTGCCCGTTGAAGTAGTCTGCCCCAATGTGACCTGGCCCTGCACCTCCAACCCCACCTGCCAGGGAGTTGGGGCTGATACCTGAGTGAGATGGAGGGATTCGGCCCCTCTGGACTGCTGCAGAAAGAGAGGGAAGAGAGACAACACGATAAATATCAGATTCGAGGACTGAACATCTTTTATTATTATTAAAAGAAAATATTACAATTATTATTGGATTGTGGAGCCTTGGTGGAGCTATATGTTGTCTGAGCAACAAGCCCTCTTCTCTGAAGTGTTTTGTGGTTCTCTTTTGATTCAAGTACTCAGTTAATCACATCTTCAAGTTTGAATTGGGATTTGAAGGTTGTGGAAAATGTATTTAGAGTTGTAAGTGTTTTCCCATCATTTAAACATTTATAGTACATAATGTTGCTGCTCTGTGAAAACCACCCCAATAAACTTTGTTTACAGCTTTCTGTGAACAATAATCCAGTGGGTTTTTAACAGAGGTGGGATCAAGTCATTGTTCTGCAAGTCACAGGTTAGAAAGTCTCAAGTCTTTGCAGTTACGTCACGAGTCGAGTTCCAAGTCCTAAAGTTTGAGTTTCTAGTCCTCAACAAGCTCTTCACCAAATGTAACGACATTTTAACAACAGAGTAATGATATATAAATTTACAAAATTCATTAATGTTTTTAAAATGATTTATTTGTTAAAACAAGTTCTTGCATCTCCGTCTGCAGTTTTCCATCTGCACATTTTGCAATTAATTTACTGTTTACCAAAGTGTGGTTTTACGCCAACCAAAGTATATTTGGTATAATTTTTTCAAACTGGCGCTCACTAACAACATTAGGTCTTCTTGGTTCTCTCCTGCGACTTGATTGTATGCAGTCGGATTGGTTCAGACAAGGTGAATTTTGGGAAACTAATGTCAAATTTCTGAAAATGAAAAGTGTTGATGTTAGTGTATACATGAAATTGAGCGAAATTGATTGATTCGTGGCACACTTTTCAAGTAACATAATTTTTAATCTTTGGGCTTCAGGAAGGTATCAAGACTCAAGTCCAAGTGAAGTCACGAGTACTGGTGTTAAAGACAAGTGGAGTTGCAAGTCATTTTAAAGATTTTTTTTTGTGTGGCTTTTTTAAGCCTTTGATTTGATTTACAGCAAAGGGCTGCAGGCTGGAATCGAACCTGTGGCCACTGCAGCAAGGACATTGCCTTTGTACATGGGACACCTGCTCTACCTTCCTAGCTACTGGGTGTCCCAAGTTATAAGTCTTTGTTAAATTTCGTCAAGTCTAAAGTCATCAGAATTGTAACTCGAGGCTGACTCAAGTCCAAGTCATATGACTTGAGTCCACAACTCTGGTTTTAAATTATTTATGTATCTTAACACGCAGAAACATTTTCTTGACCCATAAATGAATTTTCTCCTCCAGTTTATCTGAAAAATATTAACTTAATGGTTTTCTGTGGACAGCATATGTGATGCACTACACCAGCATATCTAAAATTAAGATGTTAAAATATATCCCTGAGTGAACCGTTAACAGAATCACTCTTACAAATATTAGCTATTAGCTATTAATAGTATGATATTGTTTTCATTTAAACAATATAATCATGAGACACTGATTGCAGTTAAATAATTAGACTGCTTGACATTATTATAGCGCTTAGTGATTATATTCTGTGAGCGCTCTGTCTGAGGTTAATGCACAGCTGTCCTCCCTGCACCAAACTTTAATGAACACGTCTGTGGATATTCTCATTTATCCAGGTCAATTCCATTCTGGCAACAATTAAATCGTAGGCAACTGGACTTTGATTTTGTCTAGAAGACGTTTCGCCTCTTATCCAAGCGGCTTCATCAGTTCTCAACGCATCAGTCTGACTAGTCCTCACTAGTCTGACTTGCTGGCTGATTACAATTGTAGTAAATATACTATAGTTACTAAAATCTCACTTAAAGTAGCACATGCTTCCCTGACTGGGTTAAAGGTGAAACAGACTTTTCCAGGTAATGTGGAAACAGAGCAACCTGCGTCACGGGCCACGGTCTGCATGTTTCATTAATAACCAGGCTCAATATAACCCCTGGCACAATGTCACCTCAGTGCACATTATGTATAGGACAGCGACTCGCGGTGTCCACTGACACAGACTGAAATACAAGCACTTTTACAGGCGACTAGAATACAATCAGAGAAGCTTCTGAAGTGGTTTGTGATGTGATAATGAGGGTAGGATTGCTGGAATGAAAAATAATTACACCAGGGGAGACGCGAATCATCTCTTCTTACTACTAATCAAGCTTGCAGAAACTAAGCAAATTAGAACTGTAATTAAATGGATATATATAGACACATACATACACAGAGACACAGACGTCTCAGTGGGGTTTGACAGAGTGAACTTGTCAACTTGTTGTTTTTTCTGTTATGCAAATCAAACATGGCTGTTTCCTCATCCCTGAAGCTCAACAGCTGCAGGGAGTCGAGCTCTGAGGTGAAAACATGCTTTGGTTGACAGTATAAATATTGTGCTTGGATCACTGGTAAATGTCAGTGGCTGTTTCTGTCAAAGTCAGCGTTTTCTCTGTGGATTATACATTTCTGATGTTTATGTATTTGTATGTGCCTCTCTGGGTATTTGTGCTTTGCTGCAGGGTGTACACGAATCGGATATTACTGGTATAAACCTCAGCGCTGGAAAGTGACTACGAACATTTATTCAAGTAGGTAAGTTACTGCACTTAAATACAACGTTGAGGTATTTGTACTTTGTTTGACTTCCACAATATGCTACTTTATTCATCTATTCCACTTTTCTTGTATTCATTTTTGACACTTCACTGCATTTATTTGACAGCTGCAGTTACTCTGAAGATCAACAGTGTTATATAATAATACATATAATAATACTGTATATGATTACATTGTAAAATATGATAAATTAATGAAGACGAAACTATCCAACAGTATACAAAATAGATAAAACCAGCTCCATCTCAACTAGATACAACATTAAAATGCCGCTTACACATTCCATCAGTAAAAATATGTATTGTTCTGCAATGCTTATGTTTGCTGACTTTCCATAAATACAATTTTTAGTGGAGATACTTTACTTTTATAGGAGTTTATTCACAGTTTCTACTTTTTCTACTTTTACTCAGACATGCATCAGACTATTTTGCTACTAGGGGGCAGCAAGTCAAGCTGTAAACAAACACTGACATACAGAATTATCACATTTTAAGTTGATATGACAAATGTGTTGGCAAGTGTTTACTTATTTACACATACAGCAGTTATGGAGCTACATTAGTGCTTGTTTGAGGTGAGTCCAGAATTCACTCTCTTCTAACTCTGCTTTTGGTCTCAACCAACTCCCGAGGGAAAGATCTCATTCTTTAGCAGCTAAACACTTCACTGTGTTCACCAGCTAGTCGTTTATTTTGTCCGTCTGCTGTTGGTGGTGGTATCTGGACTTTCTTTGGTGTTATTGAAAACCTCTGCATGTTGCTTGTGGAAACATGAATAATGAGAAAGTTGTAAAGCCAAAACATGGAGCTGAAAGACGCTAAAATGGTCCTTAGAGCTAAGGGTAACTACAGAGTCAAGCACACAAAGTCACTGAATCCATTGTAAAGATAAAAATGGCAACTCGTGCTGCTTCAAGTAGCCTAAAGAATCTTCTACCACTGTGAAACCTAAAAGTAGGCCACAACAATAACCTCAGGTGTTTCTATGAGGAGGTTTAGCCTTACATTTTTCCTTGCAGCGAGAAACTCACTCATGTTTCTACTAAACCTAAAAAAACACCTTTAACCCGTTGTGCACAGAAGTGAGAAGCTTTGATACCTTCTTTGCGCATTCCTACACGGAAACATTTCTTCAGACGACAGTACTGGCACTGGTTGCGGTGATGCTGGTCGATTTGGCATTCTCGATTTGATCTGCAGAAAGGGAACAAAAGATGAAACTGTGTGAGAAGAGCAACAGATATTTGCCAACATATACTCACGGTTAATTTCCTAATAGCTACAAACACTTAAAAACTTTGAGGTAGGGAAAATAAGTTTGCATTCACATCTTTGTCTTCCTCATTTCCCTCCTTCTCTTTCTCCTCCCCTCACTCAGAGTCGGACTGGCCATCAGGAGCACCGAGAGATATCCCCGTTGACAAATGGGCAGGTGAGACTCAACGCAACATATACATATTTAATGAAGCAAGTGCTGTGTGATTGACTGAGTCTGGAGGTACCGGCAGCAGAGAGCCCAGTTATTCCAGTGATACCAGTTCAACTGTTGGAGGTTCTGCAGCTTAAGCGATAAGACAGAAGCACTCCTAAATGTCACTTTTCTTGAACTGACCAATCACAACCTGGATGGGGCAGGACATAAAAATGTTTGAAGTGCTGCAGCAAACTTAGGAAAGTTAGGACTTGGCAAACAAAATGGAGACTAAACCATTTTTCTTGCACATGGATTTAATATAGGAACTAAACAAAACAAAACAATTTATGAATGTTGCTTGTATATGTCCCAAACCGCTGAGGTGTCCAATTGCAATTAATATTACACCACTGGTGGGGCCTATAGTATAGGCTGGTATTATATGAAATCATATCCATGTACAAAAAAATTGTATGATTAATATATTGATATTAGAAACATTATAATGTTATATTAACTATACTTTATGTATCATTTTGTCATATGGATTACTGTACACAAGACATCTATTGCACTTGTCAGGGCAAATTGTGATTTGTGATATTTGGCTTTATAAATAAAATTGAATTGAATACTTTGTATTTAATGCTATAATATTATACTAATAAACTTATTTATACTAGTTACACATCCAGGTTGAGGATAGTGCCTGCCTGGGTCCACACTTTTGAATCCACCCATTTTACTGAATTTAAGTTGACTGGAAACGCAGTGTAACATGTTCACAATTCTGTCTGATATCAGGCAAGGATAGTGCATCTGCAGCAGACAGATGTGAGGCAGGATGCCATTGTGCCAACATGCACTCCTTCTATCCATCCTCCTCTGAAGAGCAACATGTTCTCTTTATTCTATTCTACTTAATGTTATAAATAAAATAAAATAAATAAAATATAAATAAATATTGTTCAGTAGTTATGTTTATATGAAGTGTGGCAAAGGTCATGGTGGTGTGTCGCTGGGGTTGGGTGGGTCGTTCAGAGTCAAAGAATCCAGAGCCATTTTTCACTCCCAGTCACTGACCCCTATGGTGAGTAAACTGTGTGAGCTAGTGTGGGTGAAAAGCTATCAAGGCTGTGTGACCTTTGTAAATCATCGGCCTTACACGCCCTTGCGTTGCCTTTTACAGCAGGATGAGGTCTGCCAACATTTCACAGAGAGCCCTTTTTAGTCCTGGAGGTGACGAACTGACTGAAAAGACATCTTCCATTCAGCATTAGCACATTATTATGTGGTAGAAATAACTACATTCAGAGGCCTGGAGTCGTCTTAGTAAGAGCAGAGAATTGAGTTGCAACATAGTGTTCCTGTGGTGAAGAATAATGGGAATGTTGACCTTCTGAAGCAATCCATCCTCACATGACTGACCTTCAGGGCTTTCATTTCTTTTCTTTTCTTTTTTTTTCTTTCTCCCTAAGGCTGTTTGTAAGAAATACCCAAGGTTGGAGCATATCACTCTGGAGTGAGAAATGGACTAATCTGCTGCGTCTTTTCATGAATGTGAACGACTATATAATGCCTTAAAAAAGAGACCGTAACACTTTATGGTACCCTCACCACACTTATAAGCACTATATAAACATTTACTTAATGGTTTATTACACTCTATAATGTAGTTTTTACACAGATAAAAGGACATTTGAAGTGTAATTAATGTACAGTATGTGTCAAAAATTGGAACTTCGCTTATTAAAACATATCTTAGATTATTATAACTGTGTATTACTATACTCATTATCTGATTTTACACCAACCTCCACTTAAAGGAGCCTCAGGAGGAGTTATATCTGTTGACAAATACATTAATAAACAATTACAACTATGTCACAGTGTGTTACACATCATTTATTAACTGTAGAGTAAAATTTAAAGTTTAGTTTCACCAAAAAAGACATTTAAGTCCAACAAGAATAACGACCAAAATAAATGCACTGTTTAAACTCTAAGAAAGATATGACATCACTCTGAATCTCCCAGCAGTCCTTACCTGCAAGAGTAGTTCAGGTTTCGTCTGATGCTCCTCTTAAAGAAGCTCTTGCAGCCCTCGCAGGTGAACACGCCGTAGTGCTTCCCGCTGGACTTGTCCCCGCACACCACACAGTCCACCACGCAGGCTTTGTCCTCGTCCCCGACGTCCACATCGCTGCTCCCGGCCTGAGGCGAGCCGTCCTCTTCCTCCCTCCTCAGGTAAGCCTTCTCCCCCAGTCCATTAGTGTCCCCGTTGGGGTTGCCCCATCCCCCGCTCACCATGGCCATATTCTCTGAGACACACAGCCCCGTGAGTGGATCATACACAGACCCGCCCTGTCCCCCAGCTTTCAACTTCCCCTCAAAGTCTAAAAAGTGTTTTCAGACAAGAAAACAGTGGCTCCAGGTTTGTTTAAAAGGCAGTTTTTGTCCAAGAAGATCAAGAAGTGGGACAAAAAGCTGTCCCGAACTCTCTCGTGTTGACCTTTCTCCCCTTTGCCGTCTGGTTGTAATGACCTGAAGGTCCCTCCCAGTGCTGTTTTCTCTCTCGCTCTTCCTTAATCCCTCTGCTCTTACTGTTCTTGTCTTTCACCTTCGTGTTCTCTGCCCTGACCTCCGATCAATGGCTCCCGAACTCTGAGAAAACTTCAGACACACATTGCATGGTTCAGAGTTCAAGCAGGAGAAAAGGGTGCAGCCTTGCTCTTTTCACTGGAAACAATAAATTACACTTTGACTCCCTCTTTCTTTCTTTCTTTCTTTCTTTCTTTCTCCCTCCCTCCCACTTTCTCGTTCTGTCTCCCCCCCCAACTGGCAGACGTTAAGAAGAAACTCACCTATCCTCAAGCATAGTGACAAGGAACAAAACAGTCGCTCTCCAAATGAAAAAGAAGCTCTGCCCCTCTCTCAGCGCTTGACTTTCTCCCAAAAGGACAAGCAAGTGGGAGGAAAATAAAACACAGCTCTCCTTCAGGCAGGGTTAAACTGCCCTGCCCTCTCCTCCAACTTCTAAACGAGTCCAACCAGTTCCTGCCGTGCAGAGGTGTTATCTGCTGATCTGAGGCAGTTCTAGTCCAGACTCACTCTTGACTTGTCGAGGCTGTTATAGAAGCAGAGGTGACTGTGATGAAGAGGAGAATTAAGATAATATTTTTGCTCTGGAAATGCTCAGTCATATGTCCCAAGAGAAAAAAAGACTCATGGAGAATTTTGGTTTTATTTCTTTGGCATTCAGAGAGGAGATGACCACAGGGCTACTTCAGCTTTTGGCTCAGGATCACCCCTGTGCCCGATAAATAGCCAGAAAGATCCAGTGAAATAAGAAATGTTAAGACAATACACTCCTTTTACTCATGGAATAATCTCTGCAACAACAAAGTTCAGCAAATAAGATGTCCTCTCCTGTGAAATGTTGTCTTGTGGCTCTTCCAGCTCTTCAGAGTCTGCAGTGTCAGAGGCTCAAATGTCACAGAGAAAAAAAAAGAGCCAAAACAAAAAAGCAGAGTTGAGAAATCTCCTCCTCTCTCAAAGCTCCACAAAGTGTTGTCTCTTGTTTTGTCAGTGCTTGTCCATCCAGCAGTAACAACCAGAGGCCAGAACCTCTCTGCATTCCCAGTCAGCGAGTCAGGGTGTACTGTTGCACTCTTTACTATTCTGCCCGTCCTTTTTTTTTTCTTCTTCTTCTTCTTTTCCTCCTTTTCTTTCTGCTGGCCCCGGCAGGAATAAATTAGGCAAACAAGCGCAGGAAAAACACGGTCATAGACCTTTTAGTGAAAGCCAGACGCTGCAGTGGAGAGCAGCCCAGAGATAGCCTCCTCTCCTGCTCCTTTCAATCCCCTCTCTGTGTCTCTGCCTCGCTCCCTCCTTTAGGGAGAGTGAGCGTGTGTCTGTGTGCTGAGGGATTTGACACTGCTATTCAAGCCCTGCCGTTGCCATGGCACTGGATGCCTTATAAGGCCAGGGGAGTCAAAGAGCACAGAGTGGGCTGCTCACACACACACACACACACACACACACACACACACACACACACATAGAAAGAATGCCTGGCTGCCTGACTGGCGGCCTGTTTCCCCCCTGACCCCGGGCCAGCCTGGGAGCAAAGGGGGAGTTAACCCCAACACTGCCATGAGACAAAGAGGGCGGCCTCGGGTCGACACACAGCAAATGCATGGCACACACACTCATGTTCTCCACTTCACTCTAATCCCAAAGAATTCCTCTGACTTTGTTGACCCAATAATAATAACAGGGAGGGCTTGTTGTTGTTGAGCAACTTGTCAAAAGGTTACATGATACGCCGCCGGCTCCTTTTCACACCTGCTGCACATACTCACAGGTCTGTGTGAAGGATGTCAGAGATCCCGCTCAACTGCTGCATCCTGTATAGTATTGACCATGTTTACGTCCACATTCTGAAATAGAGTTGTGTCCCCATAAAAGTTGTTGCACCCGCGAGTCGGATTAAAACAGGAAATGTCAAAATCAGTAAAGAAAAGCTGAGGTATTCTGACATTAATCCATGTTTTACAACCATAGGAACTGGATGATTCTACATTTCACACTTTACATCAAACACCAGTGTTCAGAGCCAACTCAGGAAGTGTAGCAGTGTGCCCTATATGCAGTGAGGTGGAAAGTATGTGGTGGTGGTGTTGGTGTAGCACAACCAACTTTCATGGAGGAGATCAGAGTTCACCTCCCACCACAAACTTGCAATTAACCAGAAATTAAAGCCACCAGACTCCATCTAAATAAACAGTAATTTCAGCATGTATAGAGCCAGCAAATTTACACATTCAGCTGGGCGAATTAAGGGTTTAATTTCAGCCAAACCAGAGCTGGTGATTGTTGGAACCAAGATGGTTTCTGTGAGTTTTATTTTGTGCCTGTCGACTTTGAACGAAGTGTGTTTTACGATGATAAAATTACTGTGTATTCATGGAGTTTGGTGGCTTTGGCAATGGCCATGTCAGGGCTGGTTCTGATTAAAAAAAATGGATCTTACTCTTTAACAAAATAAAACAAGTGCTTTTAGTGGACGTACATTAAGGGTACGAACCAAGTGGTTACACTGGAGCCATGTTTCACGTCTGCTGTCTGCAGCCCTCTCATTTAATACTTGACCAGTTTCATAGATTGTTGTATCCATTTGACACTTAAACACAAAAACATGTAAAAATAGAGTTACCTTTTTTAGTCACCAATTATTCTCTAACTTCATCACAAACAGTTTTGATTTCCTATGACACATCATAAAAACTCTTTCCAGCATGATCCAGCCCTTATAGTTATATACTTTTATATAGTTTATTTCTCCACTTACATTTTGATGGGAAATGTAACTGTTTCCTGGATTTTTTTTTTTCTGAAAAAGAGGCGCCATGTTTCTGAAGAGCACAAAAGTCACAGGGAGGTGCTTGTGGTGCATGATGGGTGTACAACGTGCAGGACTTTGACAGTGGCAGCCAAGTCCAGAGGTTCACATCCTGATTCCTGCAACCACAAAAATGTTTCATCATACTTCAGTTGCTATGTGGAAATGGTAAGAAAACCAATGAGATACACTGTCAGTAAACCTTTTACTGGTACGTTCAGGATTAACATTTTGCACTTTGCTAGATAACACTTAATCCTTGCATCACCGCATTTCCATTAAAACATATTTGCTGAGGCAGATTAGTGGTATATAGATGTATTTTGTTCAAGAGGCAGTGTGTAGTACTTCTCTGATCTCCATATGTAAAATTGGTGAACTGCTCCTTTAAGATAGGCTAAATCTAACAAAGGTCTTGCTACATGCACATACTGCTCCTGTTTTACAGACCTAACTATAATTTGCAGAGTCACTCATTGATCGTCTTGGCAGTTGGCAGTGCTCCTGAGTAATTTCTGCCCTGCTTTGTCTGTCATGCCAACAGCATTGTCATGTGAAGGGAGGACAAAATAAACAATCAGGGCCTGCAACCAAGGTTTCCAATAACAGCCTCCAAAAGCAGGAGGAAAAAAAAAACCCACAGAGGAGGTATTCACTTCCAAGCACGCCGAGTTAAAAGAACCTCTATGTACCAAAAAGTGTTTGCTCATCACATGGTTTTACAGGAATTCCCCCAGGATGACAAAACATTTGGTCCTTGTGTTCTTCAAAGGCATGTTTTGTCTCTCAGAAGATGTTTGAATGTCAAAGAAGCAAAGAGGCAAAGTTGGTTCAAAAAAGGGAGGCTTGCAGGAAGGGGAAGGATTTCTCTTATGCAATTTTCTGTCTGCTGCCTTTTTTTAAATGTGACCATAAGGTAACTTTAACCCACATCCGTCACAGCGAGACTCATTGTGCATGGATAGGCCTTTTGTTTGGTTAAGAGGTTATCGGGGCCGAGCTAAGCTGCTGTAAGTTGAATTAGTGCTGTCCTTTAAGCCTCTGTGTGTGAGCATTAGCAGAGGTCAGACCATGTGGGATAGTGTTTGATATTTTACTCAGAAACCTGTGTAGATTTCAAGTTGTGAAATATGCTTAAAAACTTGAAGTCTGTCATCTGTTGTTTTTTTTTCAAAGCCCTCTCGAATGAGAGACAATGAACACCTTTCTGACAAGGGGAATATAAGCCTTTGAGGATAATAAAATGTCTAGTGTTTCTTTCACAGGGACACTTAACCACAGAAACATGTTGCATTTGTAGACATAAGTTTGTCAATGTCACTGTGAGTTGCTACAGACTAAAATCAAATGGTATTTGTGCTGCTCCTTTATTGTAAAATGTATTTTAATGTAATATAAAACTTGTCACCTTGCACATAGAAGTTCCTGAGTTTTAGCTTAAACTTATACACTGTAAATTATGGAAATTATTTTAATTTAATGAGTTAATGAGAAACAGAAGAGGTTAAGAAAGTTTAAGAAGACCAAGAGGGACGATAAAGACAAGAAATTAATGTCCCCAGACTGACTTGTCAGAATTACATCTCTATTCTTAGTTTTATTTTATGTCTTTTTTATTTAAATATACACATTTATTTTGTCAGTTTTTATTTATTGTAATTATTTTTTCTTATTCTTTCTATATTTGCCCATTTTTTTTTAATTCTATTCCGATCTCAAAATACAGTACTGTATCTTTTATATCATCTGTTTTACATCTTTGAATATACGTTGATATAATTTTATAATTCTTTCATATAAATGGATATGAGCACTGGCACAACAGTATACTGTATGTTTAACCTTGGTTCAATAACAAAACTGCGACTTGGTGACAGTTTTATTTCTGTGTTTGGCAAACCTCCAGTGAGTTCATTCATATCATGTGACCAATCACACCATGAAAACCAAATCCACAAGACTGGATCAGTGAAATGTTGCAGAGGAAACTCCTTTAGGATTCAAATAAACTGATGTTTTTAAACAGACTCATTAAAAGTGAAGCATGTACAAAAATATCCAATGAATTTTTTACGGAAATGTCAAGCTAGCTTGTACATTGTCTTTTGTAAATGCTGCTCCCTGTGGAATGCAGATTTTCAACAATTTTGTGTAAACTTTGGCTTGTTGTTGTGCGTGTGCTCCAAAGTTCATGAGTTCATTTAATCTTTGGATCGTGTAAACAAAACCTCTGACACAGTGATAGTGAAAACAGGGCTGTCTTAACTTCTGAAGCTTTGAGACGTCAATGAAACATTTAGAAAAACAGAAATAGAAAAATACAATTTAAAAGAAGCAACACAATGATAGCAAATGATAAGTGTCATCATGCCTATTAGAAAAATGAAATGGTGTGATGAGTTTGTTGTAATAAAGCAGACAACACAGATAAGTGCAGTGTGGACGAAAGAAGTTGGACAATTGAACATTTTGACTACACATTTTTGTTGCCTGGAGTCTCTGCAGCATTGGTGTGTGAAGTTAAAACCGGAGTGTCCATGTTTGAAGCTTCTGTTTTCCTGCGTGTGCAAACAGACAGTATATGTCTTAATGTATGTTTGTTTGTGCACAGCAGTAGCAGTTCTAGAAGTGTCACTGTGCATTGAAATGTGTTTTGTATGTCTGAAGTGGAGCCTGCATGTGCCCTTGTGCACACATATGCCTTACACTGTATATCTGAGAGTTTTCTGTGTGTGTGAGTGTGTGTGTGTGTGTGTGTGTGTGTTCCGTGCTCTTTGAACTGCAGGTCAGGAATGCAGCTGCTCTCAGCGTGAAGTCGACTGTGGCGGAGCCTGTGCATTCTCAACACAGTCAGGAGTCCAGAGCCACCAGAGTGAAGCAGACAAACCTGCAGCACACTCACCTGAACATCGCACACACACACACACACACACACACACACAAACACACGCGACATACATGCATGACATACATGCACACATAGACATACTTTGATGATATGTACAGGTTCAACCAGGTTAAGCCCTGTAGGCTGCAGGAGCTGCACCTCTTTTGCAAAGATTCACATTTCTGCTTCTATAATCTCCTGACCTGAACAGATGACACTTGTGTCAGTGCATCACAATATTGCGTGCAAACTTAACATTATATGAAATGAAACTGCTACAACAGCTCACTTCTTTATGCATTTTTTGTTTTAGATAATGTGTTCATAAATTACAGAAACATACAGCCAATATAATTAGTAGAATTCCACAGCCATTGCTATTTTTAATTTTTCTTTTTTTTCATATCTTTACAAAGTGTGACCTTGGTTTGAAACAATTTGGGTGATTCTCAGCATTTGATGGCCTGATTATTGGTCTGGGAGCGTGTTAACTGCATTAGCTGAAGTGCAGAGGAATGTGAAAACTGGGGTTAAACTTTAACTCAGAGGAGTAACTCTGGGTGAACAAGCAAGCGCACATGACTCCCTGCTCCTTCCTCGTTAGCCTCTGCTGCCCTTTGGCCCAGAGGCCAGAG